GGGGGGGGGGGGAGGCGCGAGCGAAGGGGTGTGGGTGGGCGCATGCAGGCTCAAAAGCGCATGTGGTGGAGGAATGCCGGCGCCCCGGCCGGGGCCCGGGCCCTGGCCGCGCATAAGTCCCCGGCCCCCGGGCGGGCGCACACACGAGCAGGGCCCTGGCGGGAGCCGTGGGCCGGGCTGCAGGCCGGGGGGGACGCTGGCGACGGAATACCGGCGCGCGGAGCGGTCCCGCCGCCGCCGCCGCCGCCGCCGCCGAGCGGGCGGGCGGGCTCGCCCGGGCCCCAGGGGGATGTTGGCCGGACGGGCCCGCCCGCGCGCCAGATCGACGGGGGCCCCCGGGCCCGCCAACTCGCCGGCAAGCCAGCCGGGTCCCCGGGCAGACCCGCGTTCGCCATGGCGAAGGTCGGCCCCGGGAACGTCGATCTGGCCTCCGGCCACTGTTCGTTGGGGTGTAAACAATGATCGAGGGCGAACGGGCGGGCATTTGCCCAACCGGCTAACGGGCGAACACCCGGGCCCGGCGCCGGTGGCCCCCCGGGCGGGTGTACCAATAGAACGGTAAAATTGCGCGCCCAAGCACGCATCGGAAATGAGGGCCGCGGCCGCGTGTCGGGCGCCCCCCCCGCCCCCTGGCGAAACAAGCACGCGCCCCCCGGCGGCTGCGCAAGGCCGGGCCCGCAGCCAGGCAGGCGCGCCCGCGCCGGGCCTCCAAAAAGGGCCGCGCCCGTTCGCCCGCCCCCTGGCCGCGGGGTGCCCGGCCGCGCGCCGTCGGCGTGCCAAGGCCGTTTGGACCGCCCAAGCGCACCCCCCCCCTGGGTCCCATGACCCGCCTGCAGGCCGGCCGGGCGCGCCGTCCGAGGCGCAGAACACGGTCCTGCTCGGCGCGCGTGCATACCCCACGCGCCTGGCGAAGGCGCCCGGCCGCATGTGTCGCCGCTGTTGTTGCCGCCACGCCGTTGCCCTGCCCAGCCTGACCCCCCCCCCGCCCCTGTGTTCCGCGAGGCCGGCGATCTCGGCCGGGCGGCCTCAGCCCCGGGGAGGGCCGGCGGTCCCGCAAGGCGGCCCCCGGCCTGCCAATGCACAAGCACTTCGGCCTCTGCCAACTCATTTGCCAAGGCCCGGGGCGCCCCTAAGCGCAGGTCCGTTGCAGTGTCGAGGGGCCACCCGATCGGGGGGCGGGGGGCCGGGCCTGGTCCCCCCCTCGCCCTGGCCCTTCTGTCGGTTGCTCCTCGCATCGCGGCGCCAGGCAGCCCAGGTGGGGCGCGCGCCTCCCCCAGGGCCACGGGCCGGCGGACGGGCGGACGGGCAGACACCAGCCCGGGCACGCCGGCCTGGTGCTAGGCGGCCGCGGCGTGGGCGAAACGCGCAGGAGCAAGGCCCATACAGGGGGAGATGTATTTGCCTGCCGGGCTCGCACAGGCATCTCAAGTGACAGCGGCCAGTGCGGCGGCCATGGCGCACTTTTGCCGGAAGGAGGCGGCCAGCGGCCGGCTCGGCGGGTTCGAGTCCCACCCCAGCGGCAGCAGATCGGCCAGCGGCCCGGGGGCGGCGGCGGCGGCGGCGGCGGCTGCGTCCGGCCGGGCGCCGGCCAGCACCCCGGCCGAAATCCGCTCAAAGTCCATGCCTGGGGGAATGGCGGTGTCTCAGTCGGTCAGTCCAAGCGCGAAGGGTCGGGGAGGGCGCGACAAGAGGGGGGCGCACCGTCCCAGGGGACGGCCCGGGCCAGACACTCCCACAGCATGATGGCCGCGCTGTAGATGTCCGCCGGCATGTAGAGGCCCCGGTCCAGCGGGCGCCGGCGCTGGAAGGCCGACAGCACTTCGGGCGCGGCGTACCGCGCGGTCATGGCGTTCAGCTCCGGCGGCTCGGTCACCAGGGTGGACGACCGGTCGGCGTTCAGGTTGCGCGAGGTGCCCAGGTCGCCGAGGGCCGCCGACCATGCCCCGTCCGGGCGCCGGCTGACAAAGACATTGCCCGGCTTCAGGTCCCGGTGGGCGATCCCCTGCGCGTGCATGGCCTCCAGCCCGGAGGCCCACTGCTGGCAGATGTCCAGCAGGGCCGCCTGCCCGAGCGGCACCTCCGAGTGCAGCAGCGTGGCCAGGTCCGCCTGGTAGCGCTCCATCACCAGGGCCGGCGGCTGCTCGCTGTACCCGTACAGCCGGACAACCTGCGCCGCATCGCGAAGCATCCTGCAGAGCGGGTGTTAGACAGGGCGGCGCCATGTGAAGGGGCGCGGGGGAGGCCGGCGGAGGAAGCCCCCCCCCCCCACACACACACACATACACACACACAGCGAGACGCACCACATGAGAGCCACCTCGTTCTGGAAAAGGACCAAATGCGAGTGCTTGATGTTTTTGTCTGCACCAGGGCGCCGGGACCGCGGCGGGGGGAAGGGAAGTCAGGACCACATGACGGGCAGCCGGCCCGGGGGGCACGCATCCGCAAAGCCAAAAAAAAAAAGGGCATACCATTCATGCGTTTGATGGCCACGGTGCCCGGGCAGCCCAGGCGGTCGGAGATGCCCGCGCCGATGGCCCGCGCGGCGTACACCCTGGCCTGGGTGCCGGAGCCGAGCTCCTCATCCGGGAGGGCG